ACCAATTTTGCATGCCCTGGATGTACAAAATAGGTAGAATAGGACTTACTAGGTGAGTGAAGATAAGTAAGGCCCAGCAGGAACACCACATTGGTTCAAGTTGCATTGCTTACCATATGTATCCATTTTCTGATCAGTTTATGCTATCATTTATATCACTGTAGAATTTGGCCCAGAGAATTCTGTAGAATATGCATCTAGTAGCCTGGCTAAGGGGATCTCTACAAAGCAAATGCACGCTAGAGGGGATATTGTTGGCCTCCTCGCTGGAGAAAAGTGATCACGGTACTCTGCTTTGATGGGGAAGATACACTCCTTCAAATGCAAGAGGATAATATTCCCCACGGAGGATGCTATGTGCAAATATAGTACATCCCATCTTTGATATTGAGAGTTCATTTTCATTTAAAAATAATGATGCTACTCTTGTCCAACAAAGGCTAACTTGCAGATAAGAAAACTGCTACCTACATAGGCATTAGTGAACAGTTCCTCCTAAGAAATCACCAATGCTACTGCTTTTAGCACTCAGAATTTTCCTGGCATGTCTCCCATTTTAAAAGTCCAGTCCTACTAACAATGAGTTTTGCCTGTAACTTCAATGGGAGCCAGATGAGGTGGTATATACTGGTCACTTTAATTGTTCTTCCACACAAGCCACACCATTTTAAAAACTATAAGATGAAACTTATAGGGTATTAAAAATGGTTATAGTATATTTTGATGTACTCTGTTAAGCAATACTCTTAATAGGAAATTTAAAACCAAGAGTTAAAAATAAATCTTACAACTTGTTTTAATGCCGTCTCCAAATTTTTCTCTACTTTTGACACAAGTTTGTATGTATGTGCTCATGTGTGCACCAATGAAGAGGACTACAATACTCTTTTAGCAGATAATAAATGAAGACAGAATCTGAAATGAGTATGAAGAAACCTCACCACTGACTAGGTTGTCTTGCTTTAACTGCCCAATCACTGACAAAACAGGACATGATACGGTGTGCAGTCATCATAACCTTTTATACAAGATCATTTCAGTTTAAGATCCCTGCTTCCCAGGTTTTATTTCTGCTTCAATGCTCTGATTGTTTACCTCTAAAGAATAACTTCATAGGGCACATTATACACTTGAAGAGAATAGTGAAAATATATGAATTAATAGTTTTGTCACTGAAGTATTTATTTGTTAGACTGGGTTTTTAAAAACTTTTCTACTGAACTTTCAATTTTTTATTTTTATTTTTTTGTCTTAAACAAATTGCTTTGTTTTGTCTGTTCTGCTTTTCTTTATCTTTGTTCTTTATCTATGTTGGAGTAACTAGATTTCTAGAAGACTTTGTACTTCATAGCAGTTAATCTTTGCAGTATTCTCAAGATTGTTAGACCTAAAAATTGACTGCTAAAGGCTTTCCCTGAAGAATTCTGAAATGCGGGATTTTTTCCAGGCTGTCCTTGCTCTCTCCTGTCCCTCTCGTCCTGCAGATCTTGTAAATGCTGTGTGAACAGGGCAGAGCTTTTTTTAAAAAAACCTCAGGAGGGCTGTCGGTGGGGATTGGGTGAGAGCCAGTGGTTTGGGTGGTGGCTATTCACTGGAATCCTGTGGATCCGAGGAAGTGTACAGGAGAGAATCCCCAGTGAGGTTTAAGAGTGTGTGACGGCAACAACCCTTCTAGAAAGCTTATTGAAGGAATAGGAGTCCTCCCTACTATGCTTAAGGAGGCTAGTTTCCAGCCCTTGTGTGTGATCTGTTAGTTGAAAAGATTCTTCTGATTTCATTGACAAGTTTCCATGGCAGTTGGGTTACATGTTGAGATCTATACCTCTGCAAGAAAATGTCCTAGAGACTTTTTTCATTTAAAAAAAAAAACAACAAAAAAAACGTACAGGCCAAATCCTTCAGTGCTGAGGTATGGGTGAACAACTTTAAATATAAATATATGGAGATACACCTATCTCATAAAACTGGAAGGGACCCTGAAAGGTCATCGAGTCCAGCCCCTGCCTTCACTAGCAGGACCAAGTACTGATTTTGCCCCAGATCCCTAAGTGGCCCCCTCAAGGATTGAACTCACAAGCCTGGGTTTAGCAGGCCAATGCTCAAACCACTGAGCTATCCCTCCCCCCATTTGGTGTCTGTATCAAATTAAGTGGAGCCAATGTTTTGTAGCAACATTGCTAATAATAATTTTGAGTTTTAAAATTGTATTTTAATAAACTAAACTTTAGTACTGGACACTATCAGCTAGTGGAATCCAGTAAACTCAATCCTGTCCTGTCTTTGGGGGATAAGGGTTTTTGGGGGGGGGGAGGGGCAAGGAAGGGGGAAGGGATTTTGTGTGTGTGTTGCAAAGTGGCAAAAATTACACTTCTTGAATGGTGGTGAACACCTCTCTTCTTAGAGTGTCAGAATTCATGAACTCCTTTTCAGTTCTTTTCAAATGTCTTGAGATGTTTTTTTTAAAGTGCCTAATTTGGGGGGAGAGAGGTGTGAATTTGAGAGGAGGGCTAAAACTGGACTTATAATAGAAACTCAAGTTCAACCTTAACTATATAGGTTTCAGAGTAGCAGCCGTGTTAGTCTGTATCCGCAAAAAGAAGAAGAGGAGTACTTGTGGCACCTTAGAGATTAACAAATTTATTAGAGCATAAGCTTTCGTGGACTACAGCCCACTTCTTTGGATGCATATGACTTAACTATATAGTGGCTACTGTTCTCCAATAACAATACGAGAAAGAGGAGATGGGAGAGCCCTCAAATGTAGGGACAGATTCTGTCCCTTGCTACCACTACTATATATCACTCTGGCAGCATGTAGGGGCTGTAGTTGGCTGGAGGAGCATTCCCTTGGCACAGCATAAGGCTGCTGTAGTTATCATAAAGAAGAACAGGAGTACTTGTGGCACCTTAGAGACTAACAAATTTATTAGAGCATAAGCTTTCGTGGACTACAGCCC